ATATATCTGCACGCTTCTTTTAAGTATGTTTAAGTTTTAAATTTAAATATGTTAAGATTAATTATTATTTTGATGACCTATTATGTATAATTTGACGAGTAAGTGTTTTATGTGAATTTAAATATGTGTTGCCGGTTTTCAGTATCTTCTGATGATGCCGAATAGGCGAAACTAGTCGAGAAAATAATTTTAAGAAAGTACAACTAACTCTTGTTTTAATCATGAACTACACTCTGGATAATGGCTTTCTAATCAACAACCTAACATTTTAAATATTCTCTAAGCGTTATTTTATTTAATTTTATTAAAAATCAATTTTTTTAATAAAAGGTTAATAAGAATGCCATTTTGTATCCTACGAAACGTAGAAATATCTAAAAAAAAACGGGGAATCCCCGTCGGGGATACATCTGTTTTGCGTTATGCCAAAATCATAAATTTACGCTTTTGCTTTATTAAAAATAAGCGATTTTTGGCTCACCCTGTATATATCAAATTATGTGAACAGTATTAAAAAGTATTCTTTAAGTCTCCTCAATAATATAGTCTAATTTTATAAAAATCGGTGTACAAATGTGTACACTGAAAGAAATATATGTTTGTTTTAGCAAATGTATGTGGTTCATATATGGACTACCACATACATTGCTAAAACAAACATATATTATATTTAGTTTTAACATAATATGTTAAAACTAAATATAAAAATGGTTAAGGTAAATATATTTTATGTTTCATATATAGACTACCACATACATTGCTAAAACAAACATATATTTCTTTCAGTGTACTCTGTCAAAGGTAGATTTAAAATAAACAAAAATTAAAAAAAAATAATAAATTTTCAAAAAATTTCGAAAAGAGGATCAGCTAGGATTTTGGTAAATATCATTTTTAATTCACCAAAGGGTCCCGAACAAGAAACTGCAATCAGTTTTTGGCGTCATTTTTATATGACTTAAACTTTGTTCAGGCACACCGTGCTTTGCATTGGGGAGTGCAAAGCAATCTTAAGTTAAGAAAAGTAGTGTCACAGTTACCATTATAACGAGAAGTAATGTAAAGAAAAACGATCATTGTAACATAAGTGTGAATTCAATAAAAACGCTTTGTTAAATAACATGTTCATTAATTTTTATACATTTAATGGTCCTTTAAAAGTATTGATAAACATAACTCATTAAGTGTACATCAAATATTGCCGTTACATCACATTTTACGGTCCTTCGAACAACAAAAACATCACAATTTCCGATTCCGATTTAAAAGAGGTCAAGATTGATCACAATTTTGGTACGCTTATTCAAAAAATGACCATCATTTTGCTCAATTAGCCTTTGTTTTGGAGATATTGTAAAAAAAATTATATGCAAACCTTCAAATTCGTAGATATATATTTTTTAATTTAAATACATTAACTAATACATTAAAAGACCTTGAAAATGAGCTATCACTAACCATATTTGAACAATCTAGGCGGCCAAAAGTCAATAAAAAAACACCAAATACTTCTAGGAAGCCGACTTCTAGGAAGCCGACTTCCTAAGATAAAGGACCCTTCTGATAAAAATAAATAAAAATGGGGTTGCGACGGATCCCAGCAATGCCAATACAAACAAAAGTTTTACAATGATGCGGATTCAGTTAGGAACATATTTCAAAGTTGCTTCGTGCCTCTAAAATGAGCATGTGGAAAAAATAATAAAAAAACTGTGTGGGTGAATCCAACTTCGTCTTCTCCGCGTTTTTGTCGGCTAATAAGACTTCGTTTTGTCAAAGAGAGTAATGATGTTACAGAACAAGAAATTAAGTATGTGAATAATTCCATTAATTCTCTCATTCCGACTGAGGTTGATTTAGGCTGCAAAAGGTTTATTGTAAATCACAAATTCATAATGACAATGGTCAATGGAAAAGTGTATAATGCAGCCACTGGAACTACATCAACAAGTCGGTGCTACATTTGTGGTGCAACCTCAAAAGGTGGTAACAAAAAAAGCTACTTTCGAGGCAATTCAATTCGGCCTCTCGGTATTACATGCCAGAATAAGATTATTTGAGAGTGTACTACATCTGGGCCATATACTGCCAGTACAAAAATATAGGGACAGGCAAACAGAGGCGGAAAAAGAACTCGAAAGAGAGCGAGAAAACTTTCTTGGAATTCCTATGTACAAGCGAAAATGGCAGTATACGGCACTCAATAATAATAATAACCAAGCGGGTCAAAATTTTTAATTATAATTACACATTTTGACCCGCAAGTGCCATTTTGGCAATTTTAATTTGATTGCGTTAACACAATTACAGTATATAAATGAAGCCACAAAATTTTGTAAATTAAAATTAAAATCGAATTAATATAATATTTGTAAGTACTTATTAATATTTGTGTGTTGATATATGCATTTTACAGTAGAGTAAGTAAGTAAAATTTTTACTTATAAATAATAAATAAATACCATCACAAATATAACGTAAATAAATCACAAATCATCATATTTGTTCATGTGTTTTTGTTGTCATTTTTGACCAAGTTGAAAGTACAACTATTTTTTAAGGTTTATGTTATGGTTGATAATAATAAACTTGTTTTAAGAATAAACTTGCATTAAAGAACGTACGGAAGTTTATGGTAATAAAAAAAGATAAAGAAGTTATGGTTAATGAACGTGTGTTAAAGGATGAATGTGTGTTAAAAAATTAACTAGTGTTAAAGGTATGGAAAATTATGGGAATGAACAATGGATAAAGAAGGTAGGTACGAAAGGTTATAAAAGGCAAAAATCAAACCTTGAAAATGGGTTAACCCAAATACACTTTTACAATGCAGTTTTAATTAGTTTAAATATAAATTAAATATGATAAATTAGTATGTAAGTTGTTAAACGAATCTAAAATGACAACCATTGCAAAATATAAATGCCGTTATCCACTTTGCAACAGCAAAGATTTTGTTAAAAGTAAAAAACATTTTTTCATGTTTCCGTCAGACGAGGCACGGCGTAAAATTTGGTTTCAAAACATGAACAAATGTATTATAAATAAAATAGAATATTCCACTACACGACTTTATTTATGTGAAGATTTTTACAAAACAGTTTTCATAACAGACTAATTAAATTTGCTGTTCCTACAGTTTTTAAAAAGAAATACGTATTATTTCAAATATTTTAGTTTCCTATAATTGTAAATACACATTTTCGAATAATATGAATAATAATTTATCCACTGTTAACGACCAGAAATATTTTAAACAAAATGCCACTATACCTAATTTCATACAATCAGATGCTGATAACACTATTTCTTATTTTTTATTAATTACCTGTAAGTCATTTATCAACTGCACCTCAACAAAAATTTCCAAAAAACGCAACATCAAAAGTTAGAAAACGCTTATTTACTACTGAGAAAATTTCTGCATTTAGGTACTCCAAGAAAAAAATATATTCATTTTATCTTCTATATACAAATTAAAATCTCAACTACAGTCATCTAAAAATAAAATTAATGATTTAACAAATAATAATAAATCAGAACTGTTTCTTAGAAATTTAGAAATATTAATAGAAAAAAACTTATTTGGAAGCCTTCGTTTTTTAGAAGATTTTTTCAAAAACAACAATAGCCAAATTGTTAAGCCGGGTATAAGCTTGCGCAAAGCTTATGTTCTGCGATCTGCGACCTGCGACAATTGTAGACCCGGCTTTACCTAGAGTACCATTTGACGCAGGAATAAATGACAATTATCTAAACAGAATTAAAGATGTAATAAAAACATAAGAGCCCTTAGATAAATGGTGTTCTCTAACGTGGGATGAAATATCATTATTACAATCACTTGTATTTGACATTTCTTTAAATAGGTTTGATAAAGGCTCTTTACGTCAAGAAAACATGTTGGCAGATCATGCATTGCTGTTCAAGGATCAAGGAAAAAGTGGAAAAAAAAAACAATATATTATTACTTTGTTAAAAACACAAAGAAAGTAATTTTTTTTACGATTTTATGGTGTTATTTACAAGTTTTAAAAACATTTTTAAAAAAACAATAAAAAATAAGTTATCTAGTGTTTACGAAATATCAATTATTACTTATTACATACCTTAAATTAATGAAATTTTGTTTTTAAATATTTATAAATTTTGACACATACATACGTCAGATTTTATGAATTGTCAAATAGTTTCCTTTAATTCGAGAAATAATCTAGACGTATATCACTCAACCTATAAATTTAATCTGTCAAACTATGCTCAGTAAGTTTTTTATTTGATTTTTCTTTTTGGGAAATAGTTTCATGCAAAATAATTAAAAATAAAACCCCTCGACCGCTACGCGGTCTCGTGATTTTATTAAATTATTTTGCATTCAACATTTTCCAACAAAAACCAAACAAAAAACTACTGAGCCTAGTTTAACCGATTAAATTCATAGTTCTCGTGATATAATATATGACTATTTATATCCGCAGAATGGTATTCCATTAAGATGCGCAATTTCTATAGTAGTGGCCGGATTAAATGGGTAAAACATTTAAAAAAACATAAGCAATTTTATGTTAACAAAATATATTTATATACAAAAATAAAATATGTAGTGAATCCGAAACAATTTCAAATTGGTATCGTTCTTTGGAAAATGGCTTTACCTGTAAGAAAAGAGAACAAAAATAATTGATTAAAAAGTTCCGGGTTCCAATGTATGAGATTTTAAACTTTCTATTTAATATGAATCATATTACTATACTTAGTTATTGATTGAGTTTTGATCTGCCTAAACGATTTTATGGGCTAGGTCGCCAAGATCTGTTAACCAATCTTAATCTTTGTTACTTGGCATATAACTGTTTCTGATGCACTTTTAATAGCAGTTGGAGTATTCAGATTGTTTTTAAACGTTACGCCAACTACTAAGTATAGTAATAACAAGATACATACACCTTATCTCATACGCCTACTTTAAACGGCTTGCAAGGAAAGACCAGCTAATTTTTATAAAGTTTATTTATAAGCATCACATTTATTCCTCATCGCTATCATAATTAATTGTATACCTTCTCGTTGTTACCGGCACACATCTGCAATCATTTTGGTCAAACTTGAATCCTTCCTCACAATTTAATCGATCTTTACACGTGCATGCACATACATCGGGGTCCCATAGCTTAGTCTCGTTATTTTTGTAACATTTTTGTTCTTCGTCAATATTTTTGCACACACATCTGCATTCATTTGCATGGTATTCTTGGTAAATATTACAGTCCTGTAATTATTGATCGGTAAATAAAACAAGACAAAATTCTTTATAACTTACAGATTTTTTTGTTTTGCAATCACATTTGCACTTATTGTGTTTCTCAACCTGGATCAGTTCTTTACCAACTTTTTTCAGTTTTCTTGTGTTCGGATTATATTGTGTTTTAATGACCTAAAATAAAGGATACCCAAATAATGTCATTAAGTTTTGGTTTTTTAAGATGCAAAAATTTGTGTTGGTATTCCATTTTTTAATCCAGGGTGTGTAATTATTGTAATATATTAAAATACTGAATACCTTTTGACATAAGATGTAACGGAAAATTTTTTTCCCAAAGATAAAGAAAAAATATGCATTAGGGGTTTTTTATTTTTTTGTGATACGCCACTGGTTACACACTTGGTTTATCTCTGCACAAGTCTTGTGTTCTCTGAGTACATAGATACCAACAAACAAAGTAGCTGCGTTGCCAGTAGTAAAAAATTGTTACTAAAAATTTTTATTGCAAAAAATAAATAAAAAATCAATAAATACAAAAGTTTTATGCCCTTAAAGCCCTAATACCCTTCTGTATTTATTTACTCATCCAACTAATAGCTTAAGAAATGATTAGAAAATTTAGTACTTATTTTAAAAACTCCATAACCACAAATTTTTTCATCGGTTTTTTCTTTCTGTTACTTAGAAGAAATTAGGACAAGTTCACAGGTTAAACTTTAAACATTCAATTTGTGTAAATAAATCCAAAAGCACTTCCCTTAGTTAAGATATTTACAATTTGAGCACGTAATCAACAATTTACAAAAACGCCAAATTAACAATTTGCATTGTCATTTTTGTAATTAAGCTAAATTTAAATCAAATCTGGCAACTTTTTTGACAGAATCTGGAAACGCTGGTCGTTACCAAACATAACATAATAAATTAAATTAGGCAACCAGATTAGCCTAAAGTTCCTAGTCGATCAGTGGGATTTTTGGTAGGAAAAAAGGTCTTTAGAATTTAGAAAAAAAGTTTTAGGTGTTTCTTTATGGATCCTAAGGAACTACCCATTTTAATATATTACATTAATTACATAACACCCTGTATATACACTATATTTTTTTCCTTGTGTCATCAATTTGGTCTTATGAATTAAATCAGTACTAAATTTGTGGTCAGTGGCGTATAATTTTCAAGGAACTACCCATTTTAATATATTACATTAATTACATAACACCCTGTATATACAGTATATTTTTTTCCTTGTGTCATCAATTTGGTCTTATGAATTAAATCAGTACTAAATTTGTGGTCAGTGGCGTATAATTTTCAAGGGGTCTAGGCGTTAATTGTGGGTGTAGTCACCTAATAAATGAATTAATGAAAGTTAGGCAACCCATAATACACGACAATTAAAAAATAATTCTTATTATTAGAGATCGCATTTATTTTACCTGTATTAATGTGAAAAGCAGTGCCGGTTTAACAGGGGTTTTTTGGGGACTATAGCACCGGGCGGTAAATATTTTTAGGGCGGTACCGCGTACCGCCCATAATTTAAAAAAAAAAATACTTAGGTAATCGTTAGAATTTAGAAAAAAAAATATTGCGTCGGCGGATACAACGGATACAAATGAGAAAAATGTTGTTAGAGTTGAAGCAGCTTCTCCATCAGAAAAACTTGATTTATTGCATGGAAACGGAATAATTTTAACTTTTTGGATAGACGTTTTGCAAAGGGTTAATGAAACCAATAAAGCAGTCCAAAAACAAAATTTTGATTTTTTACGTGATCATTTTGATCATTACGAGGAAATAAACAGTAAACGAAAATTATGCTCTGAAGCGGATAATCATAAGAAAATTACAATTTGAAGAAAATAATTCAGAGGCAAATTTAAGCAAAAAAGAAACAATGCGAACAATATGTTTTATTTTAATAATTGACAATCTATAATCCGAAATCATTTGTCGATATGATAGCTAGATATCTGGCACAAACAAATTTGAATTTTTGTTTAATCTAAAAGCATAAATCTTCGTGGAGGATTTGGATGAGTTTTTTCCTCAAAAATGTGTCCAACTCAAGAAACTGGTAACTTCCCTTTCGGAAATAAAAATAGAAACTTCATTGGAATTAGTATAAGTTTTATACGAAAATAAATTAATATCTTCATTTCCGAATATTAATATTTGTCTGCGAATTTTTTTTTATAATGGTTTCAAATGCAAGTGGTGAACGATCTTTCTCTACTCTAAAAAGGGTAAAGAACTACCTAAGAAATACAATTCCCCAAGAAAGATTTAACTCCTTAGCAATTTTGTCCATTTATCAAGACCTGCTAGATGAAATAAATGTAGTGTTATAAAACAATTTGCTACTATAAAGACTTGAAAACAACCTTTTAATTATTAGTATTAGAATTTCTCAATATTTATTTAAACCAAAGAATAATGTTTTATTTATTTATAACTTTTGATTAGTTTTTATTAGTTTAATGAAACAAAATATTAAACTTTTATTTTTTAATTAGTTTTTCTTAGTACTTAGTATTGTTTATATAAACCAAAGAATGTTTTAATTTTTAGTTAGTGCTTTTGAATAGTTTTTATAATTTGTTTATAAAGGCTCATTTTATATTTTATAGGATACTAAGTTTACTGTTAAATACCAGCCTAACCAACCTAATCTTCCACTTGACGTGAGAAAGTAAGACTTAAAAATTTAAAAATGTTTTTAAAAAAGTAATATTTTAAAGCATTGGGCGTTGTGTTTGTGCCAGAACCGGGCGGCGAAATAACTTAAACCGGCACTGGTGAAAAGTAATTATTATTAAGTTTTATAAACAAACATGCAGTCTTAAAATGGTTTCCTATTTAAAGAGTAGTGCCCATGTTGTAAGAACTGGCCAAATATCTCGCCGTGCTTTTGTTTCGAGCGTGCTAAACAAATAGGCACCGACAGACAGCCTGTTTCTAGAATAGATTAATCTCTCACCGCTGTCGTTGTACCTGATGCCTATAAGGCGCTTGGCAGCGTGTTTCGGCTGTGCTCACATATCACGGCTACCCGGCACTGATGAGGTCTAATAAGACCGAAACAAGCTGTCTGTCGGTGCCTGTTTGTGTATAACACGCTCGAAACAAAAGCACGGTGAAGAGATATTTGACTATTTCTTACCTTTATGGTTATTTACATTTTACACAAATAAAATTAGACCTTGTGTAATTGTCATATTATATAAATTTGAAATCTTAATATAATTTAAAAGATATTTATATGAAACATATAAAATATTTAAACATTTGTATTAATTTTTGATATCTTATATCTTATATCTTAAAATTTAAAACCCCAAGTAAGTTTTTCTTACCTGCATAGTTATTATTTCCGTCTCAATGGGTTGACAAGACAAAAGTTTATGATCGCAACAGCCGCCACACCTTTCAACTCTGGTGCATTGTGGAATATAAAAAATATCGCCATAATTTCTTACTATTTCCACCGCTTTCATTTCGGGTATGCAGCCGGCCTTTTTTGCAACTACAAAGGCGCCTATAAAAAGAAATCCAATTAGTTTGTGAGAGATTTTACGTTATTTAATTCTTTACTTCTTTCATTTGCGTCAATTTCCTCTTTCTCGTCAATGCCACCAAATCGATCTAAAAATAAATTAAGAGATGTATTTTTATAGTGCTTTATTTGGTTGTATTCTCCTTGTGTGCTTAAAATTATGTACTTAGTCTAACATACCATTTAAAACATAATTAAATTCTAATTTTGAAAAAGTTATTAGTTCACATGAACTTGTATAAATCGTTTTCAAATCGATTTCAATTTTTTTTTAAACTGGTAAAAATGTTGGATATTTTTAAAATTTTAAATTAATTAATAATTTTTTGTAACCAAGAAATATACTACAAAAATAATAATTTTTTTGTGTTTTTAGATACTTTCAGCTCAATTCAACAAAGCTTAATTTCTGTTACTTATGTCAAAGAAAGGTAGCACGGCTAGCTGGAAAGCATATTAACTCAAAAAAGCTTGCACCTTCATTTTTTTTGCTAATCTTTGTTATAATAGGTCTCACGAACAATTTAAGTCTAAAAATAAAAAAGTCGGCAGAGCCGTTTTGTGCTTTTGTTGGCCGTGTGCACAAACGTCGATGAATTAAATTTGGGATTAAGCAAAGCAGTTAATTTAGGTTTTTTATTAAATGTGGAAAAATAGCACAGTTAAATATATGTATATTAATATATAATTAATTGTGCTATGTTGCCAAATTTACTAAAACCTAAATTAACTGCTAAATTACCTGCTATGCATGCTTAATCCCAAATTTAATTTTAGTAATCGACGTTTAGGAATACCGCCATATAAATTATAATTTTTAACACTTAAAAAAACAAAACACTGAATGAAATAGGATTAACAAAATATGATATGTTGTACTTTAAATGTGAAGACTATTATATTCACAAATAGCTAGTAGTAGTCGTGACGCATAATCTGTATGGCTCCTGGGAACTTTATATTTTGTCCATGTGGTGTTAAAATCAAAGTGGACGGACTCCATTGCCTGCTCACCAAAGAACCCTAAACCTTGCTGATTTTTTTCGCAAAACTCCACGACGAAAAAAAATATTGCATGGACTTTTGGAGTGATGTTGATGTTTAGCGATAGGTAACTCTTTTTAAAGACTTCAATAGATTGTTTAAAGTTTGGGTCAAAAGATGTACCAAAGCATGAATCTACTACTTCTCGAAAATCTTGGAATGCTTCTACAAATTTTAGGCATCCCAGGCTGCAATCTCTTCGAAGTAAGTCGACACTTTTTAAAAGAATTTTACAAGCATTTCCTTTGAATCCAGTGCTACCATTAGTTATCTCGCGTTGGACGTTGCAAGTTTTTGCCCAAGCCAATGATTCTTTTTCAAAACCTGCTTGCATGTGCGTAAAGATTGTGTTTACTACACCTAACATTAAGTGTAGTTCGGGTGGAGGTATAATATCAAGAAAAGATTTATCCTCAAGGGTGTTGAAAATAGGAGGATGAATGCAATATTTGTAATCCTTTGCTCTTGCCTTTACGCCCCCTGCCTGTAACCAACTCATATAGTTTTGCAAAGTATTTCCAGTGGTTCTTGTTATGCCGCATTCGCAAAGTTTGTCTTTCTTTGCGTAACACCATGTGCAAGGAAAAAGGCTACTATGCGACATGATGCCTACCATAATGTTTGCAAGTTTTAAATCGGTGGCAATTGTCCCACTTAAGTTATTGATATTTATTTTTGACCATAATTTAGAAACATTGTCATAATTTTCTTGAGTGCATTGGGTCAACCCAAGTATAAATAATTTCTTTACTCCAGTGTCTTTAAACTGTTTTGAAACTATTTCTTGTTTGTACTTCTGATAACTACCACATAATATTTTGTCTTCATAAATGGACTGTACCGATAAACATATTTTTAAAAAACCTCCTCCTCCATCTATACCAAATTTGAGGTGAACTTGAGACAACTGTCGCTCTTGCATAACATATTGAATGAAATTATTAAGATTGTTGCAATAAACTACAGATTCAGGAGCATCAATGAATATATTACCCTTAAATTTTATAAAATCGAAATGTTTACTAGTAAAGTATTCGTCAACTCTATGAATCTTATCCGAATGTTTCTTCTTTAAATTACATTTCACAATAGCTGTTCTTTTGCTAGTTGCTTTTCGAATGGCAGACGCAATTCCACAAGTAGTTTTCTGGCTTAGATTAAAGCTTCTTTGAATTTTTATAAAATCGTCAGCCGAAAGTAATTGCTTTGTTGTTTGCTCAGATTTCTCGGGATTAACAGCAATTTTAAGAGGTAGTCCACCGTTTGGCTGTATAAGTGACAAAACTGCTACGTTTTTGGTTTCAGGCTTTTCCTTAATCTTTTCTTTACCTAGTGAACAAATCACCTGTTCTTTAAATTTTGAATTTGAATTACAAATGTACTTAGTAATATTATTCATTCTGGTAGATAGGTTGCACTTATGCGATTTTCCCCTTCCAATACGCGAAAGACAGGAACTACACCGTTTCTCATTGGTTTTATGGGATTTTATCTCATTACCTAGAAATTGCGTTGTCAAAAATGATATCATATGGTCAGATTGTGCTTACCAGTTATGGGACTTAAAGTATTTACTAATATGCTCTTTCGTGGAGGTAAAACACCATTTTTTGCAAAATTTCCAACTCGTGGTGTTCTGGCAAGTTTACAAACATAGCAATCGCAAGGCATCTCCACCCTGGATCTTGTAGTTCTTTTAAGAGGGCGAATTTTCGAAATGTTTGGTAATACTATATTCTTTCGAACACCGTTTTTAATGCGATAGATATCCCTCTTACATCCGTTACATAAGGCAAGTGATAAGGGTTCGTCATTAAGATCTTAGTCAAAAATATTTTCCACGTCAGTTTTAAGTTTTCCACGAATCTCAATCATTGCTTTAGTTTTTCCAAAACATAAAAGGCATACCTTTCGGCGATTTTCTTCGTGAGTTCCTGCATGATCTTTTGTCATTTTATATTATTTTTTAACTGCACAAATTCACCAAAAATTAAGCCAAAAGTAAACAATCAATGACGCTGCAATAAACTGACAGGTACTTGACAACAGAAAATAGTTATTTACCTAACTAGTGCGGAAAGTGCTACTTTTCCGCACGCGACTGCCGTTGAACGAACGACGCGTAGCGGAGTTCGGTCATCAGTCGAGTGCGGGAAAGACACTTTCCGCGCGTGGTAGGTACAATATTTTTTCTACAAGCGCATAAAATATGGAAAACATTTTATTTTAACATTGCACCATTGCTTAAATATGTTGAATTCTTTTTCGTATCTCGCCCGTGATTTTTAAGGAAGTAATTAATTCCAAGCTGGCTTTTTTGCTTCTTCCAGGATAGACTCGGGAATCTCGTAATTTTCACTTTCACTTTCCATTTTTAAACTCAAAACCTTGACGTTTCAGGACTTAATTATGTTTAGTATTTTAAAAACCATAGAAACCAATAATGGAAATGGCTACTACTCTGCTTAACAATTGCGGGGTTGCGTGCGGAAAAGTGATACTTTCCGCACAGTTATGCGGGCGGAAAGTAGCAACTTTCCGCACGCTTGTAGAAAAAATAATTTACAGTACTTCCATTCCAGAGCCTCCTCAGCGAACCAAACTTACAATGTAAAATTTAAATAATTTCCAATTCAACAAAAACGGCTCAACCGATTTTTTTATTTTTGGACTTAAATTGTTCGTGAGACATATCGAAAAAAAGATTTACAGAAAAATTGGAGGTGCAAGCACCTTTAAGTTGACATGCTTTCCAGCTAGTCGTGGTAGGTATTCTATAAAAACAGTTTTACGATTTTAAGTTAAAAATATTATAATTGTTAAGTTTTTACACTTTTGCACATATTTTTTAGATATAACTTCACTTAAAGCCAGTTTATCAATGTACTGTATGGCTCAAAAATTCTCAAGTGTGCCACTTAAAAATTGATGGTTTCATTTTTCATCGGTTTTCAATCGGTTTAGGGGTAAAAACAACTTTCCTAAAATATTTTGTCAAAAAATCGATTTTACAATACTTATTAATAATTACATTTTTTGTGGGTGTTTTCTTCAAAAATTGTTTACTAACGGTTCATCAAAACTTTTTTATATCAAAATTTTCGTTGAAAAATATACTTTACGATAAAAAATTTGTTGTTAAGGTCAAATCTTAAAAAAAAATAAAAACTATTTTTTTAAACAATTGAAAATTAATATAACTTCTTCGCTGCGAGGAATTTTTTTTCACATTTTATCTGATTTTACAATCCCTTTCGAAAATTTTGATAAAAAAAGGTGCTCGTCCAGCGCTCGGAGCGCGGTCACAAAAACATTTATAACTTTTGACCTATTATAAAATAATATCTTTTTTTTACCAAAATTTTCGTATCACATTTTTTATTGTAAAGTATATTTTTTAACAATTTTTGATATAAAAAATGTTAAGTTTTGATGAACCGTTCGGGAGTAATCAATTTTTGAAAAAAACATCCACAAAAATGTAATTATTAATAAGTATTGTAAAAATCGATTTTTTGCAAAAATATTTTAGGAAAGTTGTTTTTAGTCCTAAACCGTAATAATCGATGAAAAATGAGACCATCAATTTTTAAGGCACACTTGAGAAATTTATAGGTTATATTTGTGTTTGTGTAGTGTTTTTTTTAATAAATATTGGATATTTTTTATAAAACCACGACGATGAACAAATTTGTTGAGTTTGTGTAATACGAGGGAACACAGTTTTACAACGAAAAGAACATTTTAAAAATTATGACGATGTTGATTTTTTTTTGAGATATCTGTTGCAAAAGCAAATATATTGAAAATCATAGAAAAAGAAATATAAACTTTTACGAATAGGTATGAATAAGTTCTACATATTTGTTCACGTATCAAGAGAACAATTTAAAATGTATTGATTTTAAATAGATTTTTTATAAAGTAAAATGCGATATTTTTAAATTAATGTGTGTAACCAAAAGTAAATATATTATATAAAAGATTTTTATGTACGTATTTTTATTTAAAAACATACCTATATATCTACACATAAAATAATAAAACAAGCATAACAATATACACAAAATAAGAGCCAGTCACATTCGAACTCTTGACGAGGTAAGACTTGTAGTAATCGAGACCTTGCTTGAATCCCAAATTTTACAACCCACAATAAACTACTCCTAAAATGCAAATAAACCACAATACATTGTATATACAGTGAATTAAAGGCTACATTCCAGTCACGAAAGTTAAAAAGTGAGCAGTGATAAGTGACAGCATACCTGGCGGACAAATCACCTGACAAAAGAACATTTTATGTGAAGAACAAAGAGGTTAATCAAGAGTGGAAAGGGCCATCATCTGCAAAAATTAATAAGTACTCTTAACTAACATGACCTAATACGTAAATTTGCAACATTAACCTCATTCAGATACCTACACAACCCCAAGAGCGGTTCTTTCCGTTTAAACACAACCCTTGTAAAAAAACAAAATAAAATAGAGCAAAAACAACATTAATAATAAGACAATAGTAAAAAAATAATACAAAAAGAATAAAACCAAGCCAATTTTTATCTTTGTCATTCACGGGATTATAGCTAAGCAAGACTAAATCAATTACCAAGTAAGTCATAAAATCCATAAACTTAAGTACAAAAGTAAACTAATCGAGACATAAATAAACATAGAAACCTACGAAAACATAACTGACAAAGACAAACCAATGCGTACATACTTGAACGACTACGGCAAAAACGGCTCTTGGGTAGGAGTGATACGACAAGAAAAATAGGTCCCTACACTGTAGGGCCTACAGCTAACTAACAACTCCCCAATTTCAAATAGTAATCCCAAATTTTCGTAGTCCCCTAAACACAAAAATTTATCAGATTTTATTTATTTATTTTTGAAACTCATTTAATTATTGAAGTAGACAATGTACAGTATTACACTCGAGACTATGCGCATTATTCTATCGGATAATTTTAAGTCTCTCGTCTGGCAACTGGAGACGCAAACCTCATCATCGTAAATCCATCATCCTGCATTATCTCTCGTTTAAATAATAAAATATAATGTCTTTATTCCCGAAAACTCGGATTCTGTCAGAATTTCGTTCCCATTTATCTCTATTATTTTATCTCTTACGGCCAATGGTGTTTTCCATTTTCTGTGAATCACTTAATAAAGGTTGATTCGATTTGGATTTCCACATAAAAGTATTAAAAAATTTGGGAAAATTTAAAAAAATTAAAAACATTTTATTTGCTCTTTGAGTTTACTTGGATAAAATTATGTATGAAAGATAATGTCATATATAAATGCGCCCTGCGGCATAACCTAATCCGAAATCTGCAATAGTTTTTGGATTATTCTTTAGAATCTGCTTTTAAGATAAAACAATTTGTCGAATTTTGTTTATGTTTCTTCATTAGAAATTTTACATTATTGTTAACAAATACAGTGGCGTTTTAAAATTATTTTGGACTGTTATGTGGAAGCTCAATTTGAATTACCCTTTATATTCAAACAGGATTTGATTTAATGAAATTAATATGTCAACTTGCATCCTTATTGTGATTTGACGCCATACAATTATTTCCTGCTAAGCCACGCTTGGTCACGTAAACACATTGGTTTAAATTAGCAATTTATGCCTTGGAAAGTGACCCAATGGCAGCAGTTGACATATGATGAAACATATGAACTATTTGATACTAAGTTTTTTTCAGATTAAAAACTATTGCCATTTTCCATTCATAATTAAAGGGGCAAGTGGCTTTATCCATTTCGACCACTTCATCCCCTTCGGGTTATGTTAAATTATTAATAATAAAGGACAAAAATATTGTAATTGCAATGTAAAATTTACTTTTATTTCCCGGTATAGAATTAACCTGAATTTTGGGACATTACCTTTTAGGGAGGTATTTTGTGATTTGTAGAATATATTGAGTGGATGTTTGAAAATTCACATGTCTGTGGAAGGATTGCTTTAAAAGACCAATTATCTCGAAATAGAGAATATACTGTTTTAGAAGAACAATTATTTTGATTTTTTATTTTATATTTGACTATGCAATGCTTCTGTTGTTTTAGCATTAAATTTTTAATAATAATAAAACATTATAAAAATAGAACGGAAAGTTTTATTCATAATCATCATAATCTGATCCTAAGATTTCATAGTCTGATTTTTCCTTATCTGATAAAATGTCCAGTATAAATAACCCAAGTAACACAAGAGTTAAAATGACCCAAGTGCATTTGGCCGGTTGGTTTGGCAGGATAATAATTTAGGTTGTTTCAGAACTAAATATAATAATAGTTTATTAAGAATTCTACCCAATATTATTATTTAGTATTCATATCTTATATTTTGTTTGTTTTTAAAACTTATATTTTTTTATTTCTGTGATTTTTTGTTTTTGTGTTTTCTCTTTTTTTATATTTACATTCTCACCTATCCTGTAATTGGGCATCAGCCTGTTGGATTTGTAATTGAAATAAATAAATAAATAAATAAAACGAAATTTGTACAATCCGCTAAGGTTATTTTGACTTGGGCGGTTTCAGCTATAACCCCTTCAAATGTAATACCAAATTTATTTTTATTTAGAATCGCAAAATTGTCTGTCCTTTTCTAATTTAAATAACATAACCCCTTATTCCACTTGCCCCTTCAATTACAAAATATGATTTTATGTAAGGAATTACTTTAATTGATTGATTATAATTTTAGTGTTTACAATACCAATATTATAAATTATTAAAATGGATTGGCAATGAACCGGATTTGGAAGAAATAATTATTTTCTAATACAAAATTGCATTACTATACCCACTCCAAATAATACTAAATTTATCTCACATACGTCTATTTCGTGGTAAAGTTTACGAAATTGTGTTTATTTTAATTTACAATCCCAATATTGTCAACTTTATTATAATTTAAATATAACTTGACACCTTTAAACAAAAAAATTGTAATTGTAAATAAAAATAAATTTGATATTTTAATTACAATATTTTTTGTCCTTTATTATCACTTGTGTCCCTTTAATTGTGTTGAATAATAATAATTATTTATTGATGATAAATTATGAATTTAATCATTTGTAAATTTTATCTAAAATTTAATTCAAGTTATATAAAAAGTTCTCTCCAAGTTTCAACCTCTAGTTCAATCTTGTTGATGTTCGTCGTACATGAACATACTAAAATAAATATTTAAAGGTTGCGTAATATTAATTCTAGCGACCTAAATATATTTTGACTTAAAATTTTAGTACCTGTAAGTTTCTATACGACCTACATTTAGTTGGTTTTTGGAATTTATAAAATTCTTGAGCGACATTTAAAAATTGTTTGTCCAAGTTAAAATTTGGAAAGGACTCTTCAAATACTTGAAGCTTTATTTTTTTCATGCAAGCTACAAAGAAAAGTCGAAAAAATATTTCCACCCTAATTTACATCTATGATAAAAAATTTTATTCGTTACGTTATACATTATAGATATAATTTAAAATACATAAAACAATACCTGCAAACATAGGTATTATTTCCTTCGTAGCATAAGCAAATGTCGGTTTATCCATAGATTGCTCTTCATTTTCAACAAAATTTAGCAACAAATCGCTCACATTGAAACTAGTTAAGTGTTTTATATAATCCAAGGGTATCTAAAACATAAACAAATTGTTAAGTAGAACAACAAAAGTCGCATCAAATAATGAATGAATCACACTTTCCATAGAATTCAAAATTTTGATTTAATATGCTTTATTAAATTTGGAAAATTGGAATTTAATTTATATTCTTTAATTTAACGGAAATATCCTTAATCATAATAGTTATAGGTACCTAAATACACAATTTTAAATTAAGTTAATCAAAGTCAAGGCAAACAAGAATTAATAAGTATAAATTTAAGTATAAAATAACAATAGTGTAAACATTTATACATGGTGAATTTTACGCCAAATCCCAAACATTTTCTTAGTTTTTTTCAATTTCGCGAAGAATGTCCCAGGTATTTAAGCAATAACATTAATTCAATAAATAACAAAAACCTTCTTATTTTATTAAATCTTGGTGACAAATATTGTGATAAATAAATACCCACCAGGTAATTTCTTTTATTTTTCCGAGAAATTGATGAGTAATTCATTGATTTATCATAAAATGAAAGTAAAATATGATTATAAGGTGTATCAGTGGTATAGCAATGTTTATTGACACCTCCTGGGTGACTAAAAATGTTTGTCTTTTTATAGAAACTTTAAATTTCAAAAAGTTATAAATTTCAATATTTAGAATCGCAAATAATTTATGGAGCCTAAAAATGTTTTGGATTTAATAAAAAAAAACTTCTAAAATAATCCGCCTAAGCTAATTTTTTTTAATGGTATCAAGTCATTCCATATAAAATCATCAAACCGAAAGGAAAATCGAAGGAAAACATCGAAAAGGTGCGCACTATGGTATTTGACGATCGTTGATTAAATATGTATGAGATAGCTGGGGCCATAGACATTTACAATAACGGGTACGGTACATTTTACATCACGAATTAAATATGAAAAAACTTTGTGCAAGGTGGGTGCCGCACTTGTTAACCGCTGACCAAAAACAAATTTTTCAAAAATGTTTGGACCGTTTTAAAAAGAATCCAACCGATTTTGGGCGCCGATTTGTTACTATGGATAAGACGTGGGTCCACTACTACACGCCAGAAACCAAACAGAAATCGAAGCAATTGGTAGAAGCGGATGGTTCTGCACAAAAAAAGTCGATTTTGTCTGCCGGAAAGGTCATGGCCAGTGTTTTCTGGGATGCAAAAGGGATTACTTTTATTGATTGCCTTGAAATAAATGACCCACTAGATGAAAAAAATTCGTGAGAAGAGGGATCTAAAGTTCGAAGATTTGGCTCACTCCATCTGTTTCCAAATCTAAAAAAAATTGTGTCTGGAAAGCGTTTTGCGTCAAATAAAGAGGTGATGGCAGCTGTAGATGAGTATTTTGCAGACTTCCCAGAATTCCACTTCAGGGATGGAATCCACTTATTGAAAAAACGTCGGACAAAGTGAATGGGAAAACTGAGGGATCTAAAGTACGAATGTGGCTCCCTCCACCTGTTTCCAAATCTGAAAAAAAAATTGGCTGAAAAGCGTTTTGCATCAAATAAAGAGGTGATGGAAGCCGTAAATGAGTATTTTGCAGACCTCCCAGAATCCCACTTCAGGGATAGAATCGACTTATTGAAAAAACTTGGAACAAAGTACGTTGAACTAAAAGGAGTCTATGTAGAAAAATAAATGCATTTTTAAACAAACATTTTTAAAACTTTATCTAAATAGCTGGATGGTTTTTTTAGAAGTAGAAAACTTGATAAATTTCTACAGCATCAAGATTCCTATTATACACTCACAGGCAAAATAATCGATCCACACAAATTTTCGATGAATTTCAATCGCAAATAACTTTTTTATTTGATGTCGGATTTAAACGAATATTAAAGAATATTGTAGATAAATTAATGGACAATCGTTCACATTTTAATTAAAATTAAATTACTAAAAAATGGACGTACGTTTATAATATACAGGTTTAAAAAAAATATGTTTTTTACCATACGTTTAAGACACTCTGTAGAGTGGCAAAAGCGTATATTGTTCTAAATTAAGTTTTATTTATCAAGTCACATCTATTCTTAACAGTTTTGTTTTTAATATATTAATTTTTGTGGAAAATATGGATTTTTTAAAAAAACATTGCAATTTACAATATTTTTCTGTATGAAGAACTATAGTTATAAGGTTGCTATGGTCCATCCATAGGCTATGGAGAATAACAGTTACAGTTTTGTTGAATCATCCCATACTTGGACATGTCATACACGGCTTTCAAAAGCTATCAAATTGTTTTTTGCAAATTAATGTTAAAATTTTGAGGTGTCTTCTTACTTTAAAAAATGGATATGTCTCCGACTGATGTTGCCAGAGCCATTAATTTAATCCAGGATGGACGGTCCCAGTATTACGTGGCAAGTGTTTTAAACGTCACAAGAAGTAAAGTACAAAGGGCAACATCAGTCGGAGACATTTTTAAAAGTAAGAAGACACCTCAAAATTAACACATTAATTTACAAAAAACAATTTCATAGCTTTTGAAAGCTGTATATGACATGTCCAAGTATGGGATGATTCAACAAAACTGTCACTGTCATCCTCCACAGGCTATGGATGGACAATAGCAACCTTAGTTCTTCATACAGGAAAAATATTGGAAATTGTAATGTTTTTTTTTTAAATCCATATTTTCCACAAAAATAAATATATCAAGGTGAACCAAAAACAAAACTGTTAAAAATAGATGTGACTTGATAATTAAAACTTAATTTAGAACAATATACGGTTTTGCCACTCTACAGAGTGTCTTAAACTTATGGTAAAAAACATCTTTTTGTTTAAACCTGTATATTATAAACGTACGTGTATTTTTTAGTAATTTTCAAAATGTGAGCGATTCTCCATTAATGTATCTACAATATTCTTTAATATTTGTTTAAATCCAAAATCAAATAAAAAGTTATTTGCGATTGAAATTGATCGAAAATTTGTGTGGATCGATTATTTTGCCTGTGAGTGTATAAAACCTATGTTAAAATTTTATAATAATTTAAACAGTTTTTTAAATAATTTAATTTTTTACTTACTTTAACAAAATTTTAAGCATTTTAACAATTAGACAGGATTAAAATTAATATTACAAAAATATGTTGTTAATTTCATAATAATATCTTTATCAGTATTTTTAATGTATTTTAGCCACTTTTTTGCTATTCCAGTTCAGTGTGAGTATTTCTTATTATTGAAAAAAAAGTTTAAATTATCCGCATAATTGGTGATAATGTAGGATCTACGCAAAAAAATATCTAAAATTAATCCAAATATCCTTTTACGCCCTAAAACCGCAAGCCAATTATTGAAGTGTATTTTTTTACCATGGAAAATATTTTATTTCTCCCGAATTTGAAGATAATCGCATTATTATTAACTAAAATATTTATAAAAAGCCGGACACACTATATATGGGTACGACGAATCTAAAAGAAATATTTTTTTATTCCCCTATACAAAAAAGTCAGATAGATAGATAGATATATAGAAAGATTTATTAAGTATTAAACATTACATTACACTTCTGGCATAAATTTAAAAAAAAATATATTAATTTAGCTAGGTATAAAAACGGTATTTAATATAAAAAACAAAATATACATTTATAAACATTGTAAGTCAAAATTGGAATTCAATTATTCATTTACAGAATAGTAACAATTATGAATTAAAATACCTTTCACAGATTTTGAAAAAGCTCTGGGATTCTTTAATTTTTATTGATTCTTGAAGATGATTAAACAGCTTAGGTTCCCAATAGTAAACTGTGCGAATTTGCTTTTGTGTAGTGGAATTTGGAAAAAGTTTATGTGCCTAATAAATTAGGTGTGATTTTTAGAATTACTATCAAATTCGTCTGAATTTAAATGTGCATGCTTAAATGTTTCCAAAATTGGTATAAATGTAATTGTAAGTATTTTTTATTTTTTAAATGTTCTTTACAACTCTTATTTGTTTTTAAATCACAGATTATCGGCAGAAGTCCCCCAAAATAAAATTCCATAACTGGCAATGCTGTGAAAGATGGCATAATATGCTGTTTTTATTGATATCATATTGGCACAGAGTTTTAATCTCCATATGCAGTAGATTGCACAGGTAAGTTTTTTGCTAATGACAGACAAATCATTTCTATATAATATAAATAGTACTGGACCTAAAATCGAACCCTAAGGAACACCATATGACATGATTATTTTTGTGTAATATTTGTTTTTTCATTTAACAACTTGACGTCATCCATCGGGTAAGATTTTAATGTTCTAGTTTTCTTAAAAGTATTTGTCAATTCGCCGTGTCAAAGGCATTATGCCATTTCTACTTTTAGTTTTTTGTCATGTGCCTTAACTATATCCTATCTCTATTTTTTCTTTATTCATGTTGCTGTTTGTAAAATAGCTTCTTTTTTACCAAAAAATCTGGTAGAACTGATATAGGCCTATAGTTATAGTCCATAAATAGGTTTCTTTTGATTTAAGGTTCATAATTTTTACTAAATACTTCTTTTTCAGTAACATGAAGTATGGCTAAAGTTATTTTGATTTTTTAAAAATTCTTCTGATGGTTTAGCTTTACAGAAAATTGAAAAAGAATTAAAATATTTACCAGTTAAGGTAGAATCTTGAGAACTTAATATTTTTTGTTTTACCATTGAGAGCCTTTGGAGTTTCTTTGATTTTTTCTATTTCATTAGTGGTGTTTTCTTTGTTTTTTTATTATTTTTTTTGTCTATAGGTGTTATATTTTCATTCTTCTTATTTTTCCCTTTTTTTGGGACCGTGTTCACATTGGCAACGTCTAATATATTTTGGTTAGGTTGCGAATTCTTTAATATACCCAATAATTCCTGTTGCATGATTAATTGTTCTTTCCAATTCAGTTACTAGTCTTTTGGTATGTTGTAGATCCAATTTAGCGATTTCTTAATTATGGTGGTACTTTCTTGTTAATTATTATTTCAATTAAAGTTTTTTTTTTTTTTTTAATTTTATTAGCTCA